TTCCAGTCAATCTCTTTGTCTCACGATTATATTATTAATTCATTATCAATTTTCATTTTTGCTCTATAATTAACATAATCTTGCCATTATTAACATTTAATTAGTCGCGCAAAGTTTTTGCGATTCCCAGTCATTTTGTTTAATAACATATTTTTGTGAAACTATAATTACAATTCGATTATTATTTTGTTTAACATACAATGTTAGTAATTGCATTTTTTTATATCTATTAATATCTTGTTTTTAGCGGAGGTGGATTAGTTCTTGAGAGAATGATCGACTCTTATAAAGGATCTGAAGTCTTTCAATCAGTCATTAATGGGATTGGCGGCAACTTAGTATCGGTGCAAGCGTCTCGAATGTCAACCATGTTGCACCCGACTTCTATCCTAGGAATTCTACCACCGCACGACAAAATTTGTCTGACATCGTGGAACGCGCTTTTCATGGAATGTACGTATAACTCCACAAAGAAAATAATAATCGGAATTAACACGTTCCTAATTCCTGAAATTACTTTAATATTAAAATTTTTAATATAAATGTTTAATGTCCGATATTTAAAAAAAGTTCTTTTTTATAAATAGCAATATATGCCAAAACCGCAAGATTGCTCCTCGCTATGGCCACCCCCGGTCAATTGATCTTTGTTTTCATCGCTAATGCTTTAAACCCGGGCGATTGGAAGATACATGTATACTTTGTATTCTTTTATGTAACTGCTTCCTTATTGCAAGTAAGTCGCGCAATCTCAATTATTTTATTTCGATTTTGCGAACTGTGGAAACAAAGTCATAACGGAAATTATTTCAGGTAATGCTTCTATTATACGTGGCACACATAGTCATTCACGCGATGTGGAGGTGCAAAACCGACCCAGACAATTCGGCGATTCCCTACTTAACGGCACTTGGTGATTTGAGCGGATCGTTGCTCTTAGCGTTAGCTTTCTTCTTTGTATATTTGATACAGAGACCGTATTGTTACGTGTGTGAAGTTGGCACCTCATCTTTTGGCACCGCAAGTTTTCACACAAGTACTATTAGCACCCGCAATAGTTCTATAGTTCCTGGTAGGTTTTAGGACCAGTACCGCTGATTTACCTAAAAAAAATAGCACTTGAAAATTTGAGGTGCTAACTTCCTGTGGCACCGGAAGATTCGAGAAAGTCGACTTTTTTTACGGAATCTTACAGAATATACAATAGTATATTCTGATAGAATATACAATAGTACCGGCCAGTAAATATTAAAAAAAAATTTTTAAAAAGGAGCTAGCACCACAAGTTTTAAAAAAATTCATTTTCTTTGCGCTATTTTTTAGTACTCGAAGTTTTCGGCTGGCACCGCACGTCAAGAGTAAAGTGCCCCTAAATGGCCAGTACTTGGCCAGCTCTTGGATTTCACCACCGGACGTTGGGACGGACCTAGGATATTTTTGATCGCTCGAATGGCGCTCGCCATTCAATTGTGTTTGCACCTTTACCTTTTGTTTTGTAACGATTCGACATACGTTTATAATTTTCGGTCACATGTATATACGAGTGATTGTCAATTGTTTCGCTCCAAGAACGATCCAAACTTCAATCACATAAATTTTTATTCATTTATAACAATTATGATTTTCGATCACGAATTTTCAGTTTGGTACCACTGTGAGACGGACGGAAGAAGAGCAGGGGGGGGGCGGTGGGGCGGCATGGGTGTCCGGCTTAGGCCGGTTTTCCCCCCCCCCCCCCGTCCCCCTCTCTGCCCAGACATTCTGGGGCAGAATCCACTGCATCTATGCATACACTTTATAATCTACGAAGAATGTCAAGGCCAAAGTCATGGTAGACGTTTCCCATTTTCTAAATGTATAACATGTATATATGTACATATTTTAATTTTAAACAATATTTTAGTTAGTTTTAAGTTAAATATTATTTGATTGTTAATTTAATATATTATTTGTAATTTTAATTTAGAATTAAGTATGTCATTAGTTTTATTTTATTTTATTTTATTTTTAGTTAATTTAAATTAACTCTTCTTTACCTTTTTTATTGTTATGGATTATTATGTATATATGTATACATATATACATATTATTAATAAATATAAACACCTCGAACTCGAATAATGCTAATATCGGCGGCAACATTTTTAGAAATTTTCAGAGAAAAGACTACATAATGCATTATACTTACTTCAAATTGTTCAGCGAAAAAAATTTTAGCATAATGATAAAAAATTTTAAAGAGAAAATGTTAAACTTTACTTACAATTAAAGAAATTTGTTATGGCTTTAAAAAGTTTTTTCGTACATTGCTTCGCGACCATTCTTCGCGGAGATATATGAAATTTGAATTTATAGTTCTTCTTAATGCTGATTTTAAGTGACTTTAATTTTGTTCAGTAGCTACACGCGAACTTCAACATAAAATAACTTCGTCAAAAATCGTCGAATCAAGATGTTTAAAAAAGGATTTTAAAGCTTGAAATCTTTACTTTTCAGACTGGTACTTCAAAAAACGGTCTTACTGGTGATATTTCGTGAAGTTACACAAATATAAATAAAAGTGTATCAAAAACCTAAAAATTTTTTATGAAATTTGAAAAGTTTCAACTAACGAAATAAAAATTGTGTACAAATGCAGTTTACATCATTCGAAAGAGCGAATCTTTCCCTTTAATCTGCTTTTTTACGAAGCTCCGTACGATTTTTTTTCACCGAGTTATTCAACATTGAAGCAAAAATAACCCTTTTGTCTGTATTTGATGTACATTTTTTAGACAATGTATTTGTTGAAGAAAATTAAATTATATATAATTAAATCACTATCAAAACTATGAAATGAAAAAAGCAGATGCAAGTGAGAATTAGCGTTAATTAATTCTGTTATTATTTGTCTTATATTATAAGATTTTAAACAAAGCAAAAGAATTAATGCCTTACAAAATTTAATTAAAAATGTTTTATTGTACAGAGCATACATTATCTTTGTCACATATTAGCGGCGCTTCTAAGCCATAGTCATTAATCTACCATTATACGATTCGTTACACCTTGAAAAATCGACATAAGAAATATATAATCGAGTCTGTTTAAATCACCATGTGTATATATATATATATATATATATATGTATATAAAATTTTTTTCTCTCGTCGTTGTGACTACAAAGTGGGCTTTCAAAAAGAAAAATATTACAAATCGACTAGATACTAATAATGTTGCTTCCTCTTAAAGTAACCGCGTTTCTCGGTCGATTAAAATATATGTATATACTATATGTCTATATGTATACGTATAATATATAGATATGCGCTCTCTCTATGCGTGTGTTCCGTCTTTGTAGTAAAAATATTTTTTGGGCTTCATCTTTGGACGATCTTCGTTAGTCTACGGTTAAAAAATAATTCCTTCGCTAGCTCTGCAATAAAGTGCGAGCTTTGGATTTCTCGTCGTACGCTAATTGCACAGGCCTGCGTAAAGAAAACTGTAGGATGAATAAAAATGACAAAAGGGATTTCCTGGAGTATCGATAAATTTATATACATTATATTATAAATTATTATTATTATTTTGAAGCTATTATAATAATAGTATATTATAAAGTTATTATTATAGAAGAAAGCTAAAATTATATAACAATTGGATGTAAAAAAAAGTCAATTTATTGCTATTTTTTAACCTAGATTATTGAATAAAAAATTCGAAGAATTAGAGAAAAGATTTGACTGTCCTTTCGCCAATTTTTATTCCCCTGCATTTCCTTCGGACAAATTCAAACATTTACGATTTTGTTTGTATATATATTTCCTGGTTAGGCCATTAGAGATAATCTCTGTGATTCAATTAATATACGATTGATTTCGTGTCGCTTTACTGTTTCAGCATACATGTTAATAAACGTCGCTTCACTTGTCATTAACTATATAAAAATCGTAGAACATTTTCATTTACTTTATAAAAATAAATCGTCTGCTAATTGCTAACTGGAGGACATCGTTGCATTGGATTCGGTAAGTTCTATTTCGCAAATGGTCAAATTTTTCTCTCAGTACGTTAAATTCATCTGTTTTCTTTATTTATGTATAAGTAAACTTAAAAAATACAAACATTGATATAATATTGATCTCTTTATATTATAATAATTTTAATGTAATTTGATAATTTATGTGCATCCACATACATCTAATATAAATGTATATTAAAAATTATTACCCATCTGTAATCTTCTTAATGAAAAGATGTATATGTCTCTAGTTAATCAATGCATGACACCAGAGTTATTCAAACCTATAAACTTTTACAATATACAAACATCTCAAACACAAATTAACAGTGATATTACGTTAAAATCATAATTTCCCATTCAACGATATAGACGTAATGATGACATGTTATATATAACAGTTACATTGTTGAGTAAAAGACATTATAAATATGAGTTTACTAAGTAAGATTTTAAATATAAAATATACATATAAGTTTATTTATGTAAATAAAAAAATAGACGAATGTGCTAAGAGAAAAATTCGACTTCAGTATTATACCGACGATTTTAATAGATAACGTTAGTCGATGATTATAAGTTTATCCATAAATATTAATGCTTAACATAGCAAGTACTGAATAGATCAGCTATACAATTAAAACGCGTTTTGATTCGACAATATTTGCCTCATCGTTTGATTATATTTGTTAAGTAAAAATGAGACTTTTCTTTTTTCCAATTCAATCTCTCTTTACGTGTAATATATTAATAAAAAACTTTTTTTTATAGTTTTTTCATATCATATTCTCTCTTATATTGAATTCAATATTATATTATAAAAAAAAGAAAATCGCGATTGTAAGCGTGTTTCATTAACCTTATCCTAAATCCTCATTTTTTATATAAACTGAAGTTTAAAAGAATAGAGCCAAGTCACGCTACAGTCTGCTTCGATCTTTCGCATATTATTGCCAGCAATAATTTTTGATATTGCTATCAACTTGTAAATGTCTTCGAAACTTCAGTAAATAAAAAATTATTATGACGTTTTTTATGAATTCACGTGACGGGTTGCCTCGGGACGGAGGTATTAACCGGTGCCAGACTCAAGGTTTCTTTCTTCTTCCTATTCACGCGACGTCCCACGTGTAGGACAACGTCCCCAGCCTTCACAGACTTGAATTCGGCGATTGCCTCGGCGTGGGTCATACCGTGAAGAGGTTTCGAATTTATTGACAAAATTTCGTCCCCTGCAAATATGGCGAATTTTACGAGATATTTACTAAAAAATAAAATTATGCGTGACTATCCTTTCCTAATTTTTATTTAAAAGTAGATAAAGATGAAAAATAAAAAATCAAGATTAAAGTCAATCTGCATTAAATGTAGAAAACGAGCTTAGAGATTTATAAGATTAAACAAAAAATCGTTAAATATAACTTTACCTTCCTTGACAGTGCCTAAGTCAGCAGCTTGACCATTGGGAAAAACAGTTTTCACATAGATCCCCATGTTTCCGCGAGGACTGTCGGTACCGCCGACGATACTGAAGCCAAGTCCCTTGTGCCCAGGACCCTTGAGAAATCTGGCGGTCAGTATCGTAAAAGATGCACCGCCTTTACTTGGTCTTGGCAAAGTACAAAAACGAGACTCCTCTCCTTCGGCGGTTTCGTCGATGTCTTCAAGTTCTGAATCAGTATTCAGACCTTCATCCGCATCTTGAGTACCCTGAAAAAATTGCGTTGTATATACTTATACATTGTATTTTTAAATTTACATGTAAATAATATTATATGCAATAATACTCGATCGTCTGAATTGAATTTTTTCATTAAACAATACTAAATATCATCGTATGACGATTAAATATCATTTTTTTCATTAACATTTTAGTTGTATGTGCTACTATTTAAAATACTTATTTCTCTATAAGATTTTCATGAAACTTTAACGTTTACGAATCTTTGGTAGAAATCGTTTCTTTTTTAATCAGAATTTATACTCACTTGCCAAGTCTTCAAGTTTGCACCCGAAGAGCTAGGGATATTTGCGACACTTCTACTGTTGATCCTCCTTGGATTTCTCTTACCAGAACTTTTCTCCATACCCAAACTGGCTGGTGCATCCTCCTTGTTACCATTAACTGAGCTCAATGTGGCCTCACCTGAGTAATTATTTACTTGTCCGCCGACCTTAAAGTCAGTGGACTTTTTTCGGGGCGTCACTCTGGGTATGTGTATCTCCTCAAACGACGGCTCCGACTGATTTCTTATTTTTGCGCTCTGGAAGTGTATATTTTCATATGAATGATCTCTTGTCTCAGAGTTGCTCCTTGCTAAGTGTCGACCTGAATAAGGACTTCCCAAAGCCAGATCGTCTCGTTGAGCACTGACTCGTTGAAAACGCATGTTCTCGTAAGAGTGATCGTGCATGCTGGTCTCACGGTTCTCCGAGTTACTGCGTTGGAGAACAGGCCGGGTTCTTGGACAACAGGACGATGGCGACAACCTCGGGAACGCCACGTTCTCGTAAAGAATGTCTTTTTGCTCGTAACTGTCCTGGGAGTAACCAAAGGTGTTGCCGTTGCAATGGGGTGAATTCGGGACGCTGCTCTCTGCCAGAGTCTCCAGGTTATCGTGAAAGGGATACGGTGGCAAGGACGCGGGCTCGCTCGAATCGTAACGATTGTCTTCGAAGGTCTGACTGGTAGACGAAGTTAGGGGACTCGGTACATAGAAATTCGAAGCATTGTCCTTCTGTGGGGGAAACACCTCCGTTACACTCAGCGCCTTTCGCTTCCTGATGCCAGCGTTTATCTTACTGAACTTGCTACGAAGCACATGTTGGATGTCGGCTATACCCTTTGTCGTGCCTACAAATATATAAAGTATATATAGTATAATGTAATCAGCCTTCCCTACAACGTAAAATATATTAATTTTTTTATAACGTTAAATTCATTTTCATTATCTTATTTTAATAGTTTTTTCCGATTACCACATTTAAACTTAACTTTTCATTTGGTGATTAACTTATGGTTAGGTTGTGTAATAATTGTATTTTTCTGTTTATGGTTAATCTAAACTAATAGTTTTGTAATAAATAACTTTGAAAATGATCACTACAAAGCCATTAATTTAATAATTAATAATATATAAATACAGTTGGAGGAATATAATTTTTACATTATATTATAATTAAATTAAATCTAAATCATAAGTTAACTAGAGAATGAAAAATCGAGTCTAATTGTAAATAAATGACTTTAATGGATTTATCTTATCGATCTTATATTTTATATTACATCAAGAAAATCAGATTTACTCGCAGTTTAAATTTCGTAAAGATGGTGTCGTTTCCGGTCAATTCAAACTCACCTGGCAACCTCAGAGAGCTAGTTTGTAGCAGTTTCTTCGGCGAGTTACTATCCTGAAGACTTTTCGCAGCCGGCGAGGCTTCTCTGCTGGTCGGCGTTGATCTCACTGCGTGTATAACACCGTGATTCCCGCCACCCTGTATCAGCGCTTCCTGCGGCTCCGACGACTCTTGTACGGAGCATCTTCGCCGCAGCTTCCGCCAGCGCTGACTGATGCTCTTGTTCCACAGGTTCAAGTCTAAAAAAGAGATAGAAAAAAAAAATATTCAGAATGCATCACTTGGGTCGTTCTCGTTTGACCGAAGACACCGGGAGTATCGTTTCTAAAAAAAAAAAGAAAGAAAAACACACCGTTCCGCTTCCCGGCCGTCAGACTTTAACGACCGGAAACACTTATCTCTTCCCTGCGCGAGGTGGCACGACATCTTTCTATTTACGCACAGATAACAAGTCCAGGACTAACGAAAAGGCGCGTCACGGCATGGATGAGTGTAACGGTAACGATAGGACATTATCGAAAGCAAAACAACGCTAAGCGTGCGATGACTCGTGCGCGCGTACAAAGTGTATCACAGATATTCGAACGCGGTACTACTGCTCCAAAATAAAACAAAATCGACTTAACAAAGTGATAACGCTACTATATTTTGGTCATCAAGATTCCATAAAAGTTTAATTTCTTATTGCGGCAGTTAGCGCAAAAATGCAAGACATTTTTCATCATCAGTTTGTTATTTTTTTAAATATTCTAGTACGATTGTATCTCATTATTTATCCTACATTCTTATAATAAGGAACGGAGAATGAAAAGAATTTTTACTTACGAAATCTAACAATCTAGAAAGGAAAAGAAGTATGTTTTTTCTTTCTTTTTTTTTTGTAAATAATACACGACTTAATCATGCTCATCGACAAGAAATTTTTGACGTTGTATCATTTGTATTGTATCATTATATTTTAATCCTAGTTTGCTACACATGAGTCAAGTTTACTCAAGTAAAAAATATATTCGAGTAAATTTTTGCAAATATTACTTTTTTTTAATTAAAAAACTTAACTTACAAATAATGAGGCAAATGTACACTTCAATAATCTTTTATAAGTATATTAAAAACTAAAATATTTGACACTAGATAAGTTTATTTATTGGTATAAATAAGAATTGTTGTGTTATAGCATTGTTCGAAATAGATTCCAATCAGAAAAAAGAAACAGAAACCTAAAAAATATTCAAATAATTCCGATCACACACACACACACACACACACACGCACATACCACATACACACAATTCATTCCGAATATAATTCCATAGTATTATACATATTAAGAGGTTTGCGTTGCTTGCACTTTTTTCACTCAGCATCTTCGTTTTCTCTTTTTACGACACTACAATAAATATATATTTATCTCGTTTTAAGCAATAAACCTATTGACATATCAGAAAAGTTATTGGATCTTATACAGACCAAGTGTAGTAAACAAAAAAATATAACAACGAAGAGTTAAATACTCGGTTAAATATTTTTAACTCTATAATGATGAAAATATTAACTCTAATAAAAAAAATGTTCAAATCTAAACATGAAACAACTATTGAAAATTTTTCACTTTTTTGAAAAAAAATTTGGCGATAGAAAATAAGATAATAAGCGTTACTTATTTTCTGTCGCTCCGGAAAATTTAACAAATGCCTATCGTGTCAACTCATAAACGCATAAAATCTTCATAGAACTGTCAAGGAAGAAAGCGATTTATAAGCATCTCTGTCACGCGGTGTACCCTCGTCATGCCAATTACGATAGTACTCCAAACGTCAATTCCTCATTCCATCGCGCACATACCACCGACTCAATTACACCTCCCGCCGCAAACCACCGTGTAATCCAATCTAATTACAATTCAATATAGTTTCCATGCTCTCCCCGCAGCGTCCACGTGGCCGGAAAACGAGTCCAAGCGCGAAGTAACATCAGTTCCGCGGGGTCGAGCCCCACTTCCTTCTTCCGCTCCCTCGACGCACCCTCGACGGTAGCCTTGAAGAAAACCGGAGCATAACGTGCATCTCTCATGTATACCGTCACGGCATCATGAATTATTAAAGTCAATGGCAAACTTTCCAGTGGAGTGTTTGAGGGGATACGTGAATTAAAATCTAGAGCTCGCGACCTCTCTGACCGTCAACAATAATATGCTAGTGCGACCGATGCTCGCCACTTTGATACACTGATGCCGGCTGTCGTTTGCTATTACCCCGGGGACAGGGTTACCGTCATCTTGTGCAAAACACACTTTCACTTTTCGTATCTCCGGATGCGCCCGATTTTACGAGGCCTTTTCGCTGCTCCGCGTCGACCGGACGTTGCGTTCGCTGATACACTCTCTTTCAGCCACCTTATATAAATATTAGTATATATGTATAATATATACACATATTATACACACATATATACATATATATATAAAACCATGCACCAGCGAAACCGCCTAATTGGCTGCTTCGTTAACGTCAACCTGCCACGTACGATGAGAGAGTATGACATCAGCTTTGACGCCTCTTTACCAAATTTTTATATCGCCTTCAAGATATTTTATTATACTGGATATCAAAGTGACGAAACTTTTCCGATTGAAGAGCCTTCCATGAAGCAATGAATAAACCTTTTGGTTCGGTGTCTTATACACAAAGCTCCTATTTCAACTATACGGTAATTCCTGGAATACTTTAACAGAGGAGACATAGTTTAACCTGAGATGTCACTTAATCTTTGCTTAACCTTGAAATGTTTCAGAAGCGATGCAATTGGAGATGAAGTTCTTGGCGCTCTTGACAAATTTTACAAGACAAGAGAGAAAGAAAAGAATATTTAATATTTTATTCATAATACCTTTTCAGTTAATTCTTTAAAAAAGAATGAGTATATATAAATATTTAAGTCTTCCTTTCGCGCATCCTTAAAAGTTTCTCTCTTTGCGTTTCTCTTTTTAACTGCGTTTATTTAATTTACATTATTACTGTTACGTTGATTGTTCCACCATCTTTGTCTCCAGGATAATCTAATGCAAGATCAATAAGGCAGTTTAATCCCGGAACGAGACTGTTCCGTTAATAAAGTTCCTTGGGAAAAGCGTAATTAACGTTTGCCGGCTTCAGCTCCATGCAAATCAGTATCGATCACGCAGACCGTGGCAAATCGAATCCCATCGTCGTAGATAATGTCGTCGGAAGTTGAAATCTCCCCTGTCTTGGTAACATCCTTTACAGCAGCAGATCCTGCGAGTTTCGCCCAAAAAATTTTCTCCCACTGAATGATTATCCTCCCACATTTAGAATTAATCTCGGGATTCTCTTATATAAAGTAAATTCAAAAAGATAACATCCTTGTGGGCGTAGAATTGTTTTCTAACACTGACACAGTTTTCCGCGATCATTCCTGTTTCCTTGACACAATTTGTCAAACATCAGTATCTTCTTTTTCACAGAACTTTGAAGAGCTTGTACTAGTTCGGCTGTATCATCATTTGTAACTCCAAGCGCAGCAGATCTGCGTAGAAATAGAAAAAGCCGATGACGTATACCAGCATCTCGATTCGTGAGCATACCGCGGGATCAGTCAGGGTCATCGATCGTCCTTCGCGTTCGGCGACGCGAGACGGATCTTCGCGATCGCGCGTTAACTTCGTTTTCTCGATTGTGAAGGCTGAATCTCCGTTTCGGAAATCGCAGGATCTACACTGCGCGCGGTCTCGGCATGGACTGAAAGGCCCTGTCCCCAGGCTTCACGTTCACGTTGTCGTGTGTAAGGCGTCACATTGTCGGTCACATGCGTGTGCGTGTGCCGGCGTGTACACCACACGTGCGCGGCTCTCTTGATACCTGTACATACTTGGTGACGCCGAGTAAAAATATCTGATCGATTCAAATTCAAAATTCTTTTTACTCCAATACATTAAAAGATTTTTTTTAATTAAGATATATAGATTTATAACTTCGAATTAAAAAAGAAGATTAAATTTTAAGAATTATAATTCTTCAATGCTGAACGTTTGCTTTATTAATCTTATCTACAATATTTTCATTGATATCCTCCATGATATATTATCTACAATTTGTCTATTAGGTATGTCATCTATCAGATGTCTGAAAGAAATATGTTGAAAGCAATACGCTTAAATAGATACTTGAAGCACAAAGATTTTGCAGTTGCAAGTGAATCCTATCTAAAAGAACTATTGTAAATTATATTTTACACTTTAATTGTAACAAGAAGATATGTAAAATTTTTAATGTGTGTATTAAAAATGTTCGTATATAAACCTCAGAGAGATGTAAATGAAATTTCTACTCGATTTTAAACAATTTCAAATTTATGATAGATTTTCATCGAAATTTACATTATTTTGTTTATGAAAATATCGAATATTGCGCTCATTGCTATATTTAACACTGTTTTAAATCTCAGGGAAGTAAATCGGTTATTTGAAGGGAAGGCGACGTTTCTTTTGTTAACGACCACCGTATACAAACTGCAGACAGATCGTGTACTGATTGTGGGAGTTCCTTAGTGTGCGTTAGAATACGAGCGGTCTCTTTCGCTCAGGGACTTGCGAGCACGTGTGTCGTCCACTCAAGCATACAGCGTGCACGCACACACGCTCCTATTAATGTACATCACGGCTGCGTGCACACCCTACGCGCTGTTGCACTCGTGTGCCTCATGGTCAGGGCGGGACGCATTATGTTCTTTACAATGGTATAAGCGTGTCTTTCGTGCACGAGTCCACATGAAAGTGGACGCACACAGACACTGAGAGGCGCAACGATTTTTGGACGGTAATAATAGGTATCACAGGCCAATTATAGTTAAGAATGACTACATTTTCTCCAGCCAATCCTCTTCTCCATCCACGTCGGCACACTCGCGCACACATATCTCTCCCTTACTCTCCAGAGAGCTTGAAATATCTACATATAAAAATAGCTGACGGAAGAAATAAGATAGCAAAATTATAATATAATTACGGAGTAGAACTAAGGAATTAAGTAATACTGTCTTTATTTTTATTCCTATATTTAGTCACGCCAAAAATCTAAATATAAAATATTGAGATCTTATTTAACACGTTCACCGACATTATGAATCTCACCGCGGAAGATTATCGCACGCAAATGGCGCTGCACTTTATTAATCTTACATATAAAGAGCTTGTAGATAAATAAATAAATGGAAGTGACGG